TGGGATGGGCTGGGAATGGGGCTGGGATGGGTTGGAATAAGATGGGATGGACTGGGATGGGATAAGGATGAGAACAAGAATGGGGTGGAATGAGGATGGGATGGAATGAGGTTGGGGATGGGACAGAAATTGGATAGTTTGGGTTGGTTTCAGAATGGGATGGATGGAACAGGATGGGACGAGATAGGACTGATGGTTTGGGATGGGAGGGGTGGGATGGGATGGTTTGGGATGGGATGGGATGGGATGGGATGGGGACCATCCTGGGACATCCCCTCCCCCCGTCCCCATCCCAGGTTATCATCGGAAGCATCTTCGAGGTGATCTGGGCTGTTGTGAAGCCAGGAACATCCTTCGGGATCAGCGTCCTGCGAGCTCTCAGGTTACTGCGCATCTTCAAAGTCACCAAGTGAGTCCTGCCACATCCCCCCCCCCATGACTCCCCATGTCCCCAAGTCCCTCCATGTCCCCACATCTGCCCCTCGTGCCCCCCTGAACCCCCCTTGCCCCTGCAGGTACTGGGCTTCCCTGCGGAACCTGGTGGTGTCCCTGCTCAACTCCATGAAGTCCATCATCAGCCTCCTCTTCCTCCTCTTTCTCTTCATTGTCGTCTTCGCCCTTTTGGGGATGCAGCTCTTCGGGGGACAGTGAGTGACCCCCAGGACCCCTGGGAACACCCTCCCTCCCCCAGAGACAGGGGGTCTTTGTGCCCCCGCCATGTCCCTGGCAGGGTTGGGGCTCCCACTGCTGCCCCCCTCAATCCCCCCCCAGGTTCAATTTTGATGACGGGACCCCTCCCACCAACTTCGACACTTTCCCAGCAGCAATAATGACGGTGTTTCAGGTGGGGACCCCCGGAGTCCTGCCCAGGGGAGCTCCTGAGGGGGCACAGGGGGCACGGGGGGATGTGGGGAATGGGAGGGGATATGGAGGAACCTTGGGGGACACGGAGGCACAGGGAAGAACACACGGGACATGGACTGATGGGGGGCATAGGGGGGTGCAGGGGGACGTGGGCTGACAGGGGGCATGGGGGGACTTCTAGGGGCACAGCAGGGCATGGGGGTCCCTGGGGCTAGGGGGGAGTCCCTGCTGCCCCCACAACTTCTTCATCCCCCAGATCCTGACGGGGGAAGACTGGAACGCGGTGATGTACGACGGCATCAAATCTCAGGGCGGCGTCAAGGGGGGGATGGTTTTCTCCGTCTACTTCATCGTCCTCACCCTCTTCGGCAACTGTATCCTGAGGGTCCTGAGAGGTCCTGGGAGGGTCCTGGGAGGGTCCTGGGAGGGGAGGGGCTGCCCTGGCCCCCGCTTTGCCTTGACATGGCCCCAGACACCCTCCTCAACGTCTTCTTGGCCATCGCCGTTGACAACTTGGCCAACGCGCAGGAGCTCACCAAGGTGGGGGGTCTGGGGGGCCTGGGGGATCCGGGGGGCCTGGGTGGGTCCTCGGGGCTGGGCTGAACTCTGTGCTGTGGCTTTGCAGGATGAGCAGGAGGAGGAAGAAGCTGCCAACCAGAAGCTGGCGCTGCAGAAGGCGAAGGAGGTGGCTGAGGTCAGCCCGCTCTCCGCGGCCAACATGTCCGTCACCATGTGAGTGCCCGGCACTGGCCCAGGGACACCCTGGAGCCAGCCTGGATCTGGCCTGGATCCATCCCAGGGACATCAGGGATCCATCCCAGATCCATCCCGGATCCACCTCAGAGCCATTGGGGATCTATCCCAGATACATCCTGGAGCCATCCCAGAGCCATCCCAAATCCACCCTGGATCTATCCTGGAGCCATCCCCTGTCCCACCCTTGCCTCCAGCCCACCCCAGCCCACCCCAACCCCCTCCTGCCCCCTAGGAAGGAGCAGCAGAAGAACCAGAAACCTTCTAAATCCGTGTGGGAGCAGCGCACGAGCGAGCTGCGGAAGCAGAACCTGCTGGCGAGCCGGGAGGCGCTTTACAGCGAGCTGGAGCCCGAGGAGCGCTGGAAGGTGCCCTACGCGCGGCACCTGCGCCCGGACATGAAGACACACCTGGACCGGCCGCTGGTCGTGGACCCGCAGGAGAACCGCAACAACAACACCAACAAGATGCGCCCCGGGGACCCCCCGCCCGACCCCCGCTTTGGGCCACTGCGGCAGCCCCGCTACCCCGACCCCGGCGGTGCCCCCCGGCCCGCCGAGCCCCCCGGGGCCCCCCCCGCGCGCCGCCCCCGCAGCCGGAGCCGGGAGCCCGGGCGGGAACCGAGCCCCGAGCGCGGCTTTGGGGATGGGGAGCGGCACAAGCCGCGGCACCGGAGCCGCGACGGCCGCGCCGGGTCCCCCGAGCGGGAGCATCGGAGGCACCGCGGGCACCGCCGGGGGACCGAGGAGGGCGAGGAGGGGGGACCGAAGCCCGAGAGGCGCCCGCGGCACCGGGACGGGGCCCGGCCGGCCCGGGGGGACGGGGATGGGGAGCACCACGGGGACGGTGAGAGGCGGCGGCGGCACCGGCACGGGCCACCCCCCGGCTACGACGGAGAGGGCAGGAGGGAGGACAAGGAGCGGCGGCACCGCAGGAGGAGGTGAGGGCATGGGGAGGATCCCCTGGGCTTGGCAGGACCCCCCCGGAGCTGAGGGCTCCTCTAGATCCCAGCAGAGACTCCCATATCCGTTGGCTCTCCCAGCTCTGTTTGCCCCCAGAGCTTTCCTGGGGGTGCCAGGGGGTCCGCTCTGAGCCCCTCGCTCTGCTCCCCCCACAGGGAGCAGCAGATCCCCCCGGCGCCATCGGGCCCGACGCTCTCGACCACCCGCCCCATCCAGCAGGACATGGGGCGCCGGGACCCCCCCGTGGCCGAGGACATCGACAACATGAAGAATAACAAACTGGCCACTTCTGAGCCCCCCGTGCCCCCCACCATGGGCAACCACACCCCCTGCCCCGCCGGGGCCCCCTCCCGCCGGCCCCCTCCCACCACCAACCTCCCGCCCCCTGAAAACAGCCTGGTGGTCACCAACCCCGGCCCCCCCTCCAACAACAACCCCTCCAAGGGTGGGGGGAAACCTGAGCACACGGCCGTGGACATCCCACCCCCCTTCCCGCCGCCCCCCAGCAACGCCCTGGTCCAAGGTAGGGGAGTTTGGGGGGCTGGGGGGGGGGCAGGGGGTCTGGAGGGGCTGGGAGGTCCAGGGGATATGAGGGATCTGGGGAGTTCAGAGGGTCTTGGGGGGTCCAGGGGATATGAGGAGATCTGGGGGGTCCGGGTGGTCTGGGAGGTTCTGATTGTCCAGTTTGGGCAATGCAGGGAGTTCAGAGAGTCCAGGAAGTTCCAGGTGATTTGGGGGTGTTCTGGGGGGGTCCCTGATGCCGCTGTCCCCCCCTTCCTGCAGTGAACAAGAACGCCAACCCTGAGCCACTGCCCCGCAAGGAGGAGGAGGAGGAGAAGAAGGAGGAAGGCGACGGGCAGGACGAGAACGGCCCCAAGCCCATGGTGCCCTACAGCTCCATGTTCATCCTCTCCACCACCAACCCGTGAGCGCCGGTGGGGGGGTCAGGGGGGTCGGGGGGGCACTCTGAGGGGGTCAGGGGTCCCCCCACACTGTCCCCCCCCCTCCCCCGGCAGGTTCCGCCGGCTGTGCCACTACATTGTGAACCTGCGGTACTTCGAGATGTGCATCCTCATGGTCATCGCCATGAGCAGCATCGCCTTGGCCGCCGAGGACCCCGTGCAGCCCAACGCCCCCCGGAACAATGTGAGACATCCCCCCCCCGACACCCACCGGGACCCCCTGGGAGGATGAGTGAACCCACTCCTCGTGGGGCTGATCTGCAAAAGTGGGGGGACCCCAAAATAGAGCCCAAAGCCGAGGGGGGCATCTCACAGGCTCTGTGCTGGGTCTGAGAGCCAGAGAGCAGCTGGGGGGTGATAAGTGGTCCCAGGGGGGTCCTGGGGGGATGATGGGGGGGCCTTGGGGTGCTGAGGGCTGCTGAGGGGGTCCTGGAGGGGATCCCCATCCATCTCCCCCCACCCCACCTCCAGGTGTTACGCTACTTCGACTACGTCTTCACGGGGGTCTTCACCTTTGAGATGGTGATCAAGGTGAGTGCAGGGCAGGGGTCCTGCAGGGTGGGACGGTCTCCCCAGCACCCCCTGACCACCCCCTACCCCATTTCCCCCCTTCCTCCCCCTAGATGGTGGATCTGGGGCTGGTGCTTCACCAAGGTGCCTATTTCCGGGACCTGTGGAACATTCTGGATTTCATTGTGGTCAGCGGGGCCCTGGTGGCCTTCGCCTTCACGTGAGTTTGGGGAGGGGATGGGCAGGGGAGGTATGGGGGTTGATGGGTGGGGGGGCACCTCTCCCAGTGCCCCTCAGTGCCCCTGGGGGGGCTGTGCCACTGCCCGCTCTCTCTCTGTGTCGCTTTGACGTCCGTCCGTCCTCGGCCGTTTGTCACCACGTTGTGTCGTCCTGTCACCATCCCCGTGTGGGGGGAGAGGGAGGAGTAACCTGCGAGTAAGGTGGGAGAAAGGGCCTAGGGAGGGGTGAGAGAGCCCTGAAGGGAAGAGAATGCCCTGAGTAAAGGGTGAGCACCCCCTGAGTAAAGGGTGAGCATCCTCTGAGTCACCCAGCATCCTTAAAGGGTGAGCATCCCTTGAGTAAAGAGAGAGCATCCCCTGAGTAAAGGATGTCAATCCCCTGAGTGACTGAGCACCCCCCAAGCAAAGCCCGAGCATCCTTTGAGTAACTGAGCATCCCCTGAGTAACCTGAGCACTGCCCAGGGTGTGAGCAAGCCTGGAGCAGACCCCGAGTAACTCCCAGGAGGTCGGGATGCCCCATGGCTCCACCCTCCTTCCCACATGGGTCCCAAGGGGTGGGTCCTGGGGGGTGGTCTGGGCTCTCACCGTGCCTTGTCTCTCCCCTTCCTCTGCCACCGCCACAGGAGCAGCTCACGGTAAATCCTTCTGCCTTCGTCTCTGTCCTTGTCCTCTCCTCGTGCTCATGGTTGTGCCTCGCTCCCCCCTCCTCCCCTCCCCACTCCCCAAAAGACGGCTCCCTCACCCTACAAAAACTACCTCAGGGTGGGATGGAAGGGGGGGGGGGATCAGCCTTGAGGGAGGGGAGGGACCGTGGGTGGGGAGGAGGGGGTGGGACCATCCATGGTCCTGTTGGGGCAGATTCCAGGGGTGCCTTGGCCACTCTGAGGGTCCCACATCCCCCTGTGTGCCCCCCCACAGTGGCAGCAGCAAGGGGAAGGACATCAATACCATTAAGTCCCTCCGTGTCCTCCGCGTCCTCCGGCCCCTCAAGACCATCAAGAGGCTGCCCAAGCTCAAGGTGGGCTCAGGGGGAGAGTTTGCTGCCCACCAAGAGGGGTCTGGGGGGTCCTAGCCCATGCTGAGCCCCCCCTCCCGCTGTGCCCCCTCCCCAGGCGGTTTTTGACTGCGTGGTGAACTCGCTGAAGAACGTCCTCAACATCCTCATCGTCTACATGCTCTTCATGTTCATCTTCGCCGTGGTGGCCGTGCAACTCTTCAAGGGCAAGTTCTTCTACTGCACTGACGAATCCAAGGAGTTCGAGAAGGACTGCAGGTACGGCCCGGCCGGGCAGGGCTCTGTGGGACCCCCCGAGCCCCCTGCCCACCCCCCTGACCCCGCAGGGGCGAGTACCTGGTGTACGAGAAGGACAACGAGGTGAAGGCGCAGAAGCGGGAGTGGAAGAAGTACGAGTTCCACTACGACAACGTGCTCTGGGCGCTGCTCACCCTCTTCACCGTCTCCACCGGCGAGGGGTGGCCGCAGTAAGGGTGGATCTGGGGGGGACATGAGGGTTTGAGGGGTGCCAGGGGGTGGGGATGGAGGGGACAGAGGGACCCCCACCCTGTCCCTGCCCTCCGCAGGGTCCTCAAGCACTCGGTGGACGCCACGTATGAGAATCAAGGGCCGAGCCCCGGGTACCGGATGGAGATGTCCATCTTCTACGTCGTCTACTTCGTCGTCTTCCCCTTCTTCTTTGTCAACATCTTCGTGGCCTTGATCATCATCACCTTCCAGGAGCAGGGGGACAAGATGATGGAGGAGTACAGCCTGGAGAAGAACGAGGTGCCTCCTTTGGGGGGCTTTTGGGGGACAGTGGGAGCCTTAGAAGTCATTAAAGAAGCCCCACCATGGAGTCACGAGGTGCAGAAAGGATCCCCTTGCTTTCCCAGCTCAGAGGGGAGCCCGAGTGTGGCTTTGAATTTGATCTCTGCCTGGGGTTATGCCAGTCCTTTAAATTTAAGAAGTTACAGAGGTGGGGTTGAGCCATCTTTGTCCTGCAGGTTTGAGTGGTGGCAAATCAGAGATATTTGTAAAGTGAATTATTTATTAGGCCAGATGAGCAAACAAAAGATCTCAATCAGAGTTATCTACTACATAGCTCAAAACCTACTAGGAGGGTGTAATACGGCATAGAATAGTGTAGGGCACTGTATCAAAGCAATTATATTAAAACATTGATGTGTAAAGTCTGTGGAAGGACCTGCCCTGTGAAAGTCAAGGCTGGGCCTTTATACTTAGAACAGGTTCCCAGGCCTGGCAGCAGCTCATCCATCAAATTCTGCCTCAGAAAGCAGGATGTGGTTGAGGTTTTGGAACCAGGTTGGGTTTAGCAAAATCCAGCACCAAAACCAACCACAGCGGTGACTCCCCACGGAGAGCACGGATTGTTTGGGGTCTCTGGATACATTTTAGGTCTTGTCAGAATTAGACCCTCCTGCCAGAGGCCTCTCTGGGGTGGGTGATACCCTTATCCCCCCCTCCCCAGAGGGCCTGCATCGACTTCGCCATCAGTGCCAAGCCACTGACTCGGCACATGCCCCAGAACCGCCAGAGCTTCCAGTACCGCATGTGGCAGTTTGTGGTGTCCCCCCCCTTCGAGTACACCATCATGGCCATGATCGCCCTCAACACCATCGTCCTCATGATGAAGGTGGGTGGGGAGTGGGTTGGGGGGGGCCCAGAGAGCCCCTCGGGGGTTGTTCTCAATCCCTGTAAGCCCCCAGGGTCCCCTCAGTCCTGGCCCTGCTGGGATTGGTCCTCTTCTGTCCCCTGGAAGGTGTCACTGTCCCCTGGAGCTGGACCAGGACTGTGCTCCTGGATCCAGCCCTGGATGTGTCCCTGTCCCCCAGGGCCTGTCCCTGCCCCCCTGAATCCATCCCCCTCCTGGGATCCCCCCTGCCCCCACATCCCCACCCTCCTCCGTTTTCCCCCCAGTTCTACGACGCCTCTGACACCTACGAGAACGTCCTCAAGATGTTCAACAACGTCTTCACCTCCCTCTTCTCCCTCGAGTGTCTTCTCAAGATCATGGCATTTGGTGTCCTGGTATGTCCCAGGGACCCCAGGAATGTGGGGGACCCCCAATCTCAGGGAAGCCCAGGACCCCACAGAGCCCCAGGATTTCAGGGGACCCTGGGACACAGGAGAACCCCAAGAACTCAGGGGACCCAGAGACCACCTGTCATGGATCTGGCACTGGGCATCCTGTACCCCCAGAATTTGGGGAGCTGGTGAAGGGGTATCTTTGGGATTTGGGAACCCGGGATCCTCACATCCCTCCCCCCTTCCCAGAACTACTTCCGTGATGCCTGGAACATCTTCGACTTCGTGACGGTCCTGGGGAGCATCACGGACATCCTGGTGACGGAGTTCGGGGTAGGTGGGAACTGCCCCCACCCTCCAATGCCATGGCATCAGTTCCGGGGTCTCCACACCCCCTTGACCCCCACCGTGTCCCCCCAGAACAACTTCATCAACCTGAGCTTCCTGAGGCTGTTCCGAGCCGCACGGCTCATCAAGCTGCTGCGCCAGGGCTACACCATCCGCATCCTGCTCTGGACCTTCGTCCAGTCCTTCAAGGTGCCTCCCAGACCCCAGGAATCCACCTGTGCTCCTCCCGGGGGTTTCCTCTGCCCCCTGGCCCCCCATGACCAGCCCTGCTGTACCCCCCCCAGGCCCTGCCCTACGTGTGCCTCCTCATCGCCATGCTCTTCTTCATCTACGCCATCATTGGGATGCAGGTGAGACCCCCGGGGTGCAGGTGAGACCCCCTGGCTGCAGGTGAGACTCCTGACCCCCCTGAGCCTGCCCTGCCCCTCCCAGGTGTTCGGGAACATCGGGATCGAGGAGGAGGACGATGAATCCGCCATCACCCAACACAACAACTTCCGCACCTTCTTCCAGGCGCTGATGCTGCTCTTCAGGTGAGAGCAGGGTCACCTGGGCGCCTGTGCCACCCCAGCGTCACCTGAGTGCCATCTGGGTGTCATCTGTGTGCCTGGTGTGCCCCCCTAAATGGTCCCAGTGTCACCTGGGGTACTCACTGCGAGGCCAGTGTGTCTTCAGTCACAGTTCCAGTGTCACCCAGTGTCACCCAGTGTCACCCACTGCCATCCTCATGCCCCCCACGCTACCAAGAGTCACTTTGCTGTGCCCCCCAACACCCATCCCCCTCCCCAGTCCCCACTGTGTCCTCTGTCCCCAGGAGTGCCACCGGGGAGGCCTGGCACGAGATCATGCTGTCGTGCCTCAGCGGGAAGCCATGTGACCAGAACTCGGGCATCAAGGAGGACGAGTGTGGCAACGAGTTCGCCTACTTCTACTTCGTGTCCTTCATCTTCCTCTGCTCCTTCCTGGTGAGCACGGGGGGCTCCTGGATGAGGGGGGCCCAGAGGTCCTAAATGCCCCCCCCAACCCTGGCACCTGGGGGAGGGTTTTGGGGGACTCCAGGAGAGGTCACAACCCCCCTGCCCTGGCCCACCCTTCCACCCCCCCTCCTTAGATGCTGAACCTGTTTGTCGCCGTCATCATGGACAACTTTGAGTACCTGACGCGGGACTCGTCGATCCTGGGCCCGCACCACCTGGACGAGTACGTGCGGGTCTGGGCCGAGTACGACCCTGCCGCCTGGTAAGGACCCCTGGGGGGCATGTGGGGGACAGGGGGTGTTTGGGGCACCCCCAAACCCCCAGGGGTTGGAGTGGAGCAGGGGGGGAAAGGTGGCTGAGACCCCCCCCCATAGGTCCACTGGGACCCCCCCAGGATGGGGCGTCCTCCACAAGGGAGTCCCCAAGGGTTGCCCCCCACCCCCCCGAGGGGGTCTCTCCCTGGTTCTTGGGGGCTCCCCCAGGAGGGGGTGTCCCCCTCCACGGGGGTTCTCCAGGGGCTGCCCTCCCCTCACAGAGTGTTCCCGAGGGTCCCCCTTGGGCGTCCTAAATGGTACCTGGAGCCCAAAACACCCCTGGGGGGGTGGTCCATGGAGGGTCTCTGGTGCCCAAACCACTTCGGAGGGATGTCCTGGACATGTCCTGGGGGTGTTCCTGGGGTTCCTGTCATCCTGGAGGGGCCCGGGGCCACCTCGGGGGGGTCTTGGGGGGGGTTGCTGCCCCACTAATGGGTGTCTCCTGCAGCAGGCTCTGCCCCCCCTCATCCTGGGGGGGGTCCTGGGCATCCTGGGGGTGTCCAGGACAGCCGGAGGGGGGTCCCGGGGGGGTCCCAGCCCCTACTGATGGGTGTCTCTCTCAGCAGACACTGCCCCCACTCACCCCACAGGGGTCCCGGGGATCTCCCTCGCCCCCGGCCCGCCCCGGGGGGCCCGGGGGGGGTCGCAGCCCCCACTAACGTGTGTCTCTTGCAGCGGGCGCATCCACTACCGGGACATGTACAGTTTGTTGCGCGTGATCTCCCCCCCCCTGGGGCTGGGCAAGAAATGCCCCCATAGGGTGGCCTGCAAGGTTCGCGCCCCCCCCGCGCCCCCCCCGCGCCCCCCTCGGGGCTGGAATGTGCTTCCCGGCGCCGTCTATATATAAAATATCACAGTATATTTATATATAAACCCCCCGCGCCCCCCCAGGCCGGCCCAGCCCCCCCGGCATGGAGCCCACCCCCCCTCCCCCTCGGCATGGGGCACCCAGCACCTCCCCCCCCGCCCATCATCCCTTCCCCGCCCCACGGGGCCGCGCTGAGACGGGAAATTCTGATTTCTTGATTTGGATTCTCAATTATTTTAATTATTTTTTTTATTTCTTTGCGTTTCATTGTTTAATTAAGTTTTTATTATTGTATTATTTTTACTATTGAGTTATTCTTATTATTTCATTATTTTTATTAAGTTATTTTTATTATTATTTGTATTATTGAGTTATTTTCATTATTTATTTTCATTATGTAATTATTTTATTATTTTAATTCTCTTTCCTCGTTATTCTTTTATTTTTTACTGTTTAATTATCGCCATCTAGTTAAAAACTTTCATCGTCCTCCCCATTTATTGTTTTCAATTCTTGTTGGTTTCTGAAAATCTTTATTATTTGTCGTTGGGTTTAAAAATGTCATCCGTGTTTTTTTTTTTTTTTTTTTTTTTTTTTTTTTTTTTTTTTTTTTTTTT